TCTCTTGTGCAGCGATTGAAACTCAAAGAAATCGGGAAGGGATACAGACGTTTAAAGTTCTCAGCTTTCCTCGTAACCCTGTGAGCCGCGCGACCTTGACCCCGCCGTCGCCCCGCGCGTGCGCCTGCCGGCCGGCCTGACCGGTGCTGCCCTCTGTTCCAGTGGCCGCGCTGGCGGCTGGGCCATCGCAGCGGCTGCGGGACGACCCAGCGTCACAAGGTAGGCCCGTCGTGACGTCACGCATCCCCCTCCCCGCCCCTGCGTCTGGCCGCCTTATGAGCCGGTGGTCGTCTCGGCCTCAGCATTGCAGAGGACGGTTCTTGTTTTTGCATGTTGAAGCTTACCTGCATTCATCATTTTTGTATGAAAACATGGATCGTATCGTATCTGGGTGCATGAGCGAGATGTATCGAGATACATTGTGTGACGTCGACGTGATTTCCTCGTGCACTTGACCTTCATATAAGAAGTGCTATATCGCCACATTTCTCCAGCGGCTTGTGTTTTATTAGTTAAAGGGAGTGCTGCACATTTGAACGAGGTTTTGAACGGAAATAGCCATCTTGAAGACCTTTCGGTGAAGTTCACGGCCCTACCCTTATTAAGGCCCAAACTTCTCTAGTTTCTGAGCTGCAGGCCCGCGAAAATGAGGGAGTATTTCTGAGAGTATTTCAAAGTCACCTTCGCATGCATGACGTCATAACGTCGTCATTCAAATCTGCCATTCTATAAGCCATGTGGCGATCAAGGCCGAAAAATATAATCTTCGAGTCGCTCATGTCCGACGTTCGTGAGCACGATTTCCAGGTGCAACGGCCATCCATTTGCTCTCAATCAATGTCGTGCAGGATACGATGGCTTAATCAGGGAGTGACGTATGGAGGAGCATATTTACTAAACAGAAAAATTTGGTTGCCTAGAGCAGTCTTTTCCACTTGAAAGCCCACCAATTGTTAAAAGTGGGCTTATCTCATCAAGTGTGATGCTTGGTTCAATATCTTGAAATGTGGAACATTCCCTTTAAGTATTGCGAGTTGCATCACCCCACGGAGCAGTTGGACGCGGTCCTTGTTGAGAGATGCGTGCAAACCAGCTGCGTTGCCACCGGCACCACAAACAAATGACCGGACCTTTGCTGAAAATGTGGACACGGCTGCACTCGAAGGCGATAATTTTACTGACATCGACAATGCATCGCCGGGTCTGTGGCTTATATAGGTGGGCCTGTATTTGCTCAATGTTTATAGGTCAGTTTCAGCTATTTGTGCGTCAGTCCTAGCTGACATTTGCACTACCGTTTCGCGGTTCGTGGAACATGCCCACGTGTATTGTTTATTGACCACTTTTAGTGAGTAGAATATGCCTGCGCGTAAACTTGGCATAGACACCAGCCACATCGATAGAAGAAAGCGTCTTGGTCTTTGCAGAAGTTGTCACTGGCCTCAACATCTCGCCATTCTGAACACGTTTTTGAACTTATGGGCCGTGCTCATATTCCTTCCTTTGGGGAATGTTATTCGTCCAGTCGCCGGCAATAATCTCAGCGCTTCTCAGAAGCTTTGAACCAAGTGTTTTGATCTTCTATTCATAAGTTAGCTGAACTTTTGTTTGTAAGTCGTTGCTTGCAGCCAGGATGTTGTTTGAATTTGGTTGCACTTTGTCTCATCTACTTGCATCACGTTCTTCTCTCGCATGCCGTGCCTTCATTTAGAAGATTCTGTGTCAGCGAGTCGAGGCAGATAGCACTTGCCATAAACGCGCAATAGCAATTGACCGGCATCCAGGATTGTTTTGCCGCGCTACGCATGACCGCAGTTGTAGGACATGACTCATCCATATTGGAGGTCGATGCCTGTGTCTGTCGCGGCCTTTCCATGTGTGAGGAGGCTGAATTGCATGGACAGGGCGGGTCCCCTCGGGTGGTGCCGATGCTCAGCGCCGTCACTTGTAGTCGTGCCGCCCAACTGGACGCACGAGCCTTGCTTTGTCATGGTTACGCCTCGTTCTCTTTTTTAATGGGGAACGCGACGCGCGTCGTTGCGTTCCTTTTCAAGCGCCAGCTACTGTGTTAGTCGTAATAGCGCCGAGGGGTCATGGCATAACCAGGATTTGAACCCGGGCCCCCACGTGGGGCTCCGACGCGCCAACCACTCGGCTTTTACGTCCCTCATTGCAACCCTGATCCGGGCCAATCGGGACCATGGTGTCGGAAGCTTGCCTCGGACGCGGGGCAGTGGAAGGGGTGCTACTGAGGAATATTTCCGTGATTGTCGCCGGCATTTATTTGGGGCTCAGGAGCAGGACTGGTGCTGAAGTGGTGCTAAGCCGGGGTGGGTGCTGAAGGGGTGCTGAACCGGGGTGAGTGCTGAGCCAGGGCTGATCGTTGGGTGGTGCTGAGCAGGGGTTGGTGGTGAGGTGGTGCGGAGATGGGACCTTATGCAAGTAGCTGGTTATGTCGCGTTGTAACGGTTAGTGCTTTTTGCTGACATGATTTTGGCGCACTTCGCCTATAAAGGCGTTATAGCTTGTCGTGTAGAGGGAAAATGTAAGATGTCTAAATTTTGGATGGCGTGGGGTCTAATTGCGAGCTGGAACGCCGGACTTGCAGAAAACCACTACCACGCGGCATCGGCAGTCCTCTGGGACAGCTGAAGCAGCTGGGGAAGCGGTAGCTGGCCATCCAGGTGGATGTATGGCTATAGCTTATGCTTGGCTTTCTCTTCATGTGCTCTCATGCTAATGAAGTCCAAGTCCACAAATCTATAGATGAGGGACCCTGCTTGTTGTTATCGACGCCACAAACACTGGACGCCACACATAAACGCTAGGCGCCACAGGCGCCGCTTGCAAATGCGGGTAGTGATTCCAAAGAAGCGGCTTAAAATGCCAGTCTTAGGCCGAGGTGTTGGCGGCATGGTTGGCGTAGCCAAGACTTCTAGCCCAAAACTTTGGCATAGCCTGGGTCAGGCATACATGAGTGCTCAACTTTTCGGCGCGTAGCCGAGCCATGTTTCTGATCGGATGAATCAAAACACGATGCTCCTAAAATGACAGCAATGCTGCTAAACTGGCACTCGTAGATATGCATACTCTCATGGAAATTGGATGAAATGTAGGCAGTGACGCAATGATTATATTGGTAGGTCTAGATGAGTTTAAGTTTTGAAATGCGTTGAAATGTACCGCAACAAACATGGTTTTAAGACGGTCTTAGGTTAAGACATACTTTTGGGAAGATAATGAAGGGGGCCCTGGAATTTGATTCTGCAGTGCTTTAAGTTTTTCGATGAAAGCGGCGCCACAGCTGTCGCTACCGGTTTTTATGAATGGTGATGATAAAGATGCAACGGCAATAATGCATTTCAGAAGTGACGTACTCATAATTTTTTACGCTGCTTCATGTAACCTGATAGTGTGGTCAACATCTGTGGTCTCAGTGCTCTCTGCCCATTTGTCTTGAGAAGATTTGTCAGTGCTCCCTGCCGATTTGATTTGAAAGGTGGTGCCCCCCGTGAGGCACCACCTTTCCGTGGTGGGGGATTGTGTGCCCCAATGATGTTGCGGGCGGTTGGGGAGGCTTGTAAAGCGCCCCTTCCGGCCAAAGAGGAGGAGCCAGACTAAACGTGTCTCCCACAAGGGCTCTGACTCGTTCAGGGTAGGGATTAGCGGCCCTCGGCCCCGGCTTTCCAGTCTTATCTGGGTCTCGCCGTACCCCGTTGGATCCGCAGGTAGCGATGAAGGCATCCTGGTCACTGAGGGAGTTGCCCTGCGGGTCAGTCGGGGCAGCTATCGACACGTGGCTTTGGCCCGAATTTGTGATCCTGCGGATGCCTCGTGAAGTCTCCACACGAGGAAATCGGCTGGTCAGGCGTCGTGTTCTCGCGACACTGGCTTGAAGGCAGGCAGGCCATGTGGTGGGCGTTGAGGGGCGGGGGGGGGGGGTGGCCGGCTGCAGCCACACCGATTTGTCAGGGCTGATTTGGACTTCCATAATAAGTTTCGTAAAGATCAAATTATTTCGTTGTGTAAAGCAAGGAATGGTGATCCAGGATGGCGCTGGACCATTTAATTTGCGTGGCGTTTGAATTCCGTTCTTCCGGACGAGTAAGTTGTGTGCACAATCATGTGGGAAAGGAGGTCAGAGGCTTTCTAAGAGTCACGCGATCTAGCCGCCCCCGGCCTCTTGTCCGCGTGGAACGGAACGGTGCAGTTGCCGCCACACCCACTCTTGTTTTTTTTTGTGGGGGGGGGGGCTCCATTTTCACTCGAACAGTGCTGCGAATTCCTGGCGCTGTGTGGAAGAAGCGTGCGTTGATGCTCAGCGATAACTGTATCAATGCTATCCGGGCCTGGAATATGTTTAGTCCTAATGTTTGTTGAAGGGCTTGCTATCTAAGGGCGCGTTCGGCCGGCAGCTAATCTCGGAAAATTGTCCGGAATGTTGGAAATTTTCCGGAATGGCGTTCGACACTGCCGTCATGGAAAATTATCCCAGATAATTTTCCGTAGCGAGGGAGAATCGCGGAGGATTCTCAGGGCATGGTAAAGGCGGAGAATCTGTTTTGGCTATGCATAGCTATGACCGTGGGCTGTGGATGACGTATGAGAGACTAATCTGGGGGCGAATTTCCGGACCGGCCCAGTAAAAATAGAGAATCTCCGTGGACGATTGTCGGAGAGAAAATTATTCGTTGAATAATAAACATTTTCATAGTCATACAGTTTATATGCGCACGAAATCGTAGCCTGAAATATATGCTACAACTGAAATGTCTGCCGTATTTTGATACAAATAAAGGTCCTATTGGGCGTTCACGAAGACCAGATCGCGCAATCATAAACTGCCAGTACTGGACTCGACTCCATGAGATTCGACCCGGGATATTAAGCACTGCTGTGTGCGGGCCAACCCCGAGCCTGGTCATCAGCGGAAATCCACGGCATCGTACTTCGAAGTCAGTGTGTTAGATACACCGGTGCTGCCCGGGCCGGGAGCGGAGATGCGTCAACTGCCGGTGCCGGATCTGGACATCAACGGAGGTCGGCCGCATCGTGCCCGAAGCGTCTGTGGCACACGTAGTGACCACAATGGTGGCCCACATCAGGCTGTTGAAGCCGCCACCCGCGCTGACGTATTCAAAGCCAGAGCCGGACGGCGAAGCGGTGAATTGCTCCGGCGGCGCAGATGTACGAATGATGAGCCCGCAAGACTTTAGCGACGCGGAAACTGACGAGACTGAACCCCGCGAACCCGCGTGCTGTCGGCCGCCGCGCCTGCCATCTGTCGCCCGAAATTGGAAGCTGCGACACAATTGCCCTGCCATCTGTTGCCCGAGAGCGGAAGCTGCCACGAGCCTGACCTGCCCTCTGTTGCAGGCAAGAAGAAATACGCCTGCGACATCTGCGGCAAGACGTACGGTTACCGAGACTCAGTGTACCGGCACAAGCGCACGCACGAAGGCAAGACGGTCTGCTTCGTGTGCGGGAAGGTGCTGAGCTGCCTGCCGACGCTGCGGGAGCACCTGCGGTACCAGCACAGCATGAGCCAGGAGGAGGTGGCCTGTATGGTCACGGCCCGGACGGGCGCGGCGCCGGCGCCGGCACCAGCGGCGGTGGCCGAGCGCGCGCAGGAGTGAGGCGCGGCGAGTGTGGAGTTCGGCTGCAGTGAGTGTGGAGTGTCACTCATTGGGCGCGGGGCTGCGTTTTATGACACGCGACGTTGAGGAAGTGCGGAGTGATCCTCAGCGAGTGTGGAGTTATGCTTCGCGACTCGGCACTCGCTCGGAGTGTGCCGACGATGTGAATCGGTGTGAGACGATGTGAAGCGGTGTGATGCGGTGTGGCGTGAACCGGCCACGGTCACTGACCGCGATCTTGGCCAGTCGGTGAGTTTTTCGGAGGCTAGAGTTGACTCAGCGAGGTTTTGACGGATGCGGTCCGGCTTGCCAGGGCGCCCCGCGTCTGGCTGACTGATTGGTGCCTGGCCTCAGGTTGTGGTGATATTTGGCGGGGCCAACTTGATCGTTTTGTAGCCATGCTTGCGGGGCGTTTGCTCGTGTTTCACCGCATATTTTAGAGGTGGACTTACTGGATTCGTACTGGCGACTTTGTCGGCGAGTCGTGGAATTGTCGATGCCTTTTCCGAATAGTGCAGGGATGAAGACTGGACGAGAATAATGTATTGTTTGGTCAGTGTTTGGGTGTTCCTGCTGCCGGAGGTGGGATGTGTCCAGTGCGTTTTGTCGGCATTACTGGGCTGCCATGAGCGCCGTACGAGCTGAGAGCGCGCTGTTACAGTTCCACGCGCCGTCGGTCGCTCTAACCTCATCGGAAAGGGAACGGAAGCTGCCAACCAGACTAATTACTTGAGAACCTGCCTGCATATTGGAGGCCGTTTACTGTCAGCTGAACGTTGCCACCGCATTTTTCACTTCGGAGTTGTTATATGTGAGACGCCGAGTTTTTTTTCTCTAAAAAATCGCAAGCGGGGAGTGCCATATAACTTGCAGAGGAGTCATGAGAGAGCAGATTAGATCAGATCGGACCAAACCAGAGCAGAGCAGAGCAGAGCAGAGCAGAGCAGAGCAGAGCACGCTGGCTTTGTGTCAGCGGCCGCCGTTTTCGGAGAGAAGGCCGGCGGTGCTGGTGGCAGGGGAGAGCGCAGTGCAAAGTGCCGATGCTCAGGCTGCGGAAGAAGCTGACTCAGTGGGCTGAACAATAACAGCGTTGCTCTCGCGTGGATAGTGAGAGCTAACCATCGGCAACGACATCTAGGGAGTCTTGGAGCAACTAAACTGCCGGTGAACGAAGCAAGTAGATACCATCCGCTTGTTGGGAAAGGACGTTGACACTTCACGTATTGATTTACGAGCCGAGTGTTTCACGTGGTAGCCGAGAGGACTACGCAGTATGGCGTACGACGCAGTATTATGTACTGGCAGTGACCAGCTGATGGCTTGCGTGCCATTCGTTGGCTGCAGAGAACTTCGGACGAGTCACCACCGTTGTGCTCAGCTGTTTTTTTTTCTTCGTTTCGCTCAGCTGGTATTATGCCTTTTCCTGCATCATAATACCAGCTGGGAAGGTTGGAAGCGTCGGCACGCTGACGAAAACCAATACAAACTAGTGATGGCCAGTGAACGCCTTCACGCAATGACATCGAACTTTGATCTCCGGCGATTCTGAGCCGACGACCCCTTGGCCACCCACGCCTCACGAAAAACACCTCGGCATCCCGCGCCTTACGAAAAACACCTCGGCCTCCCACGCCCCACGCATAACACCTCGGCCACCCACGTCTTGCGTACAACCACCGGCGCCCCTGCCCCGCGGGCAACCCCTCGACCTCCCACGCCCCAGGCTTTCGCACCCTCGTAACGACGCCGTCCCGTTCCAGCGTCAAAGCCGCACGTGTGCGGCGTGTGCGGCCGCCGGTACCTGCACCGGGTGTCGCTCAGTCACCACGTGAAGAAACATCAGGGCCTGACCACGTGCCGCCTGTGCGGCAAGGTGCTGGGCATCATGGCCCACCTGCGCACACACCTGGAGATCGTGCACGGCATGTCGCGGGAGGCTGTGCGCGCTCTGGTGCCAACCCGGCAGTACGCGTGGGGCAACGGCTACTCGAGCCTGGCGCAGGGCGTGGCCGCCGGCGGCGGCGGTGGCACCGGCAGCGGCGGCGGCGGCACCAGCAGCGGCGGCGGCGGTACCGGTGGCGCGGGGCTGGAGAGGATTGCCACAGGACTGCCACGCAGGGAGGACGGCGGCGCTGAGGGGGTGGAGGGGTTGAGAGTGGAAGGCGGCGAGGAAGGGGGAGGGTTGAGAGTCGCGGGGGCGGAAGTGGGTGGTGTAGCGAGCGGTGCGCCGCCAGTATCGGAGTGCGTTTAGGAGTGTGTTTAGGAGTGTGTTTAGGAGTGTGCTTAGGAGCGTGTTTTGTCAGTGTTTACAGGCGCTTCTACTGCGTGGCCACTTCGCGGAGCGTGTTTAGGGAGCGGAGTGTAGCGTAGTCGATGTTGTGACAGGTGGCTGAGCTCGTCTTGCGCCCATGGACTCAAGGTCAGTGGCACGGAAAGGAAAGCGGGCTTCGGATGTTCGGGGTCGTACCGCGGAACGTCTCTGTTGTACGGTTGTACGGTTGTACGATTGTAAACATTGGAAGTGAAGAAACGTTTTAAGTACCGGCACTAGATGTGAGCAATGCGTTGCGATGGTGGCTCGTGGTTGTCCTGTTCCACGTATTCGGGTCGGAGGTACAATGACGTCATGTGTATATATGACGTCATATGTGTGACGTGCACGCACACCTGCCGCTGGAACAGGCGCCATTACATTCGGTACGCAAGCACCTACGTGTGATATGGTCAGGCAATGACACCATCCCCTCTCTTGGGAGTGCATTATTGATGATCCTGTGTTGTTCTACATCAGCTTTTAGATTTGTTGTTCGAAAACTGGCATTACAGTGCATCTTGTGCTCCAATTTAGCTCGGTGCTCTCGTCCGCAGGGTGTGGCGGCGGTGTGGCACTTGCCACCCTCAGGTTATCTCATAGCACTATGGCACTAATAAGATGCGGTCGAGACTAGAATATGTATGGATACGTACACGGCGCAAAATACCACGAGTGCAAATACAACCTTTGAATTCGCTGGTGTTCCAACTTACATCCCACCCTGCCCTTAAAACCACCGTCACTCGACATTGTGTATCACGCAAAGGGTCCATGACGGCGGACCAATCCGGGAGCGCCTCGGACGGTGGGTCATAAATCAGGATCATGTGCCTCGCGCCGTGGCAACAAGAGCCGGCACGATCAAGTGGTCCGTCCAATCGCATCGCTTTTGCACATCCGAGGGAGGCATGGTGGAAACGTCGGGATATAATTACATCTAGCGTTTATCGTATGGCTTCATTGCCTTTGGAATAAGAAACCATCGAACAAATTTCTTATGGATGTTGAGCGATCTCTCTGAACTACAAACGGAGCAGTTGAAAATGCTTCATTTCATTTGGTTAACAAGTCTGAAATCATTGAGCAATAATCCCACCCTGTCAACTTATAAATTCACAAGCTCCGCATTACTGTTCAATAATTACGATGTGTCAATTACTTAATTACCAAATTAATTAACAATGTGCCAACTTTGGTAAATTTTGGGGGGCCGAACCGAAGGCCCGATAACCTAAGTCCCCCATTTTTTGTCATCGGATATAGCGCACTTCGTTTCAATTAAACGCAAGACATGTTTTTAATCTTTGTAACATCTATAAAAGTCTAATTTAAGCAGTAAAGACGTCATGCAGGGTTGGGTCCAAGGAGTAAGCACTGGACGCAAGCGTCTCTTCTGATCGGCACGTGAAGGCGTCCCTTTAGAGGCCACTGTAGGGCGCCGATGACGCTCTTCTTTGACGGTCATGGAATGCGGCAAGCAGTTTGTGGGGGACGGAAACGGGGTTAGCCATGAGAAACTAAGGTCATCCACACATTCCACAGCGTTTCATTTTAACGTAACAAACCATTGTCCTATGGCGCTAGGTACGTGAAGCTTATCACATTGTTTATCCGATCAGCTGCTACGATTTGTATCCTGTGGTGAGAGCAACCATGACTTTGTTATCAGAGTGCTACGAGACGCCACTACGCCAAAATCAAAGGAAGGTCAAAGAAGATAGTCTTTGCGTTATGATCTTTTACCCAGGTTTTTTGGACTCCCAACTAAAAACATTGGGGGGGAAGTCAATATTGGGGGGGGGGGAGGGGCCAACTCAACATTGGGAGGGCCGGGGCCCTCACAAAGGAATACAGATCGGTACCCGTGATAATTCATACAGCTCTTACGCATCGGCCCACGCTACGGTAACACCACATTTTCATAAGCTTTGTCTCATCTTCCATAATGCGGTTTGCATGGCCTCGCCTGAACATCTGCTGAAGACGTCTACACCACGGTACAATTAACGCTAAAACCACCTAACGTGGAGGACCGCGCGGGCGCACACAGGCAGCGGTGGCGCCATCTATCGCAAGACGGCGTCACCAAGCCATCGCCGGTACCCGACCGTCGTTGACCAGCTCACGCCCGCACTGGCTCACGTGACGCAAAAACTGCGCCGCCAACGGACGGCGTGTTCTCGGACCGCATTCCCCATCCCTTGGAGGCCGTCGCGCTCCTGGCTGCCGCCACGCTCCTGGCCGATGTCGCGCACCTGACTGGCGTCACGCCCCCCACGTCGGCACTCCTGGCTGACGTCACGCTCCTGGCCGACGTCGCGCACCTGACTACGTCACGCGTCTGACGTCACGCCCCTGACTGACGTTACGCTCCTGACTGACATCACGCGACCCCGCGGCGACCAGGACCGCGTCCCGAGACCGCTACCGGCACTGGCGGACCGCGAACAGACGCCCCCGCGAGACCTATCGCTGCGAGCAAGACAATATCTCCTCCACCGGGCCATTTAGCACTAATCGTGAAATGAATGCCGTCTCTCGCGCAGACTAATCCGTCTTCGGACGGACGACCGAGCAGCAGACTGGGTTATTAATCTCAATACTCGTGGGCCGTGGGGTTGAGGCATAGCAAGCACGCTGGCGCGATGCGGGGGCCGGCAGCACATTTAATGATGCACGAAACCCGAACTGAACCATTGCAGGACCAGATAAACCTACGCTCACCGATTTGTCCACACCGAACTTGCCGATTGAAGCAAAATCTTTCCACCTTTAGTGCCTTGTATCATCATTCGTCCACACCGCTGCACCAGGCATGCTTTTGTTTCATGACCGACTTACACCAGCACAAGCCAAACCACCACACTGGTGCCGTATCACGGCGTCTACCTCAGCTCCACCTTGGTCCACCAGTGGTTTCACCGTTCCACCGAGGTCCACCACAGGGTGGTTCCACCGTTCCACCGTAGTCCGCCAGTGATTCCACCGTTCCACTGCGGTCCACCGGGACAAACACCGTCAGCTGGCCCATACAGCCGTGTATTCGCTCTGTCTCGCGGTAGCGGCGGTACAGCAGCCTCAGCTGATGTGGTCAGTTCTCACAGGCGACGGCCGCGGCGACCTCCCTTCCTCCGCGTGCTGTCCGTGGGGATGGGCGTCACGTCCTGCAGCGCACGGAATCACAGGGTCAGCTCGCGGGATCACAGGGTCAGCTTACGAATCACAGGGTCAGTTCACGGGGTCAGCCAGCCTGCGGGATCACGGTCAGCTTACGAATCCCAGGGTCAGCTCACGGAATCACAAGGTCAGCGCACGGAGTCCCATGATCGGCTCACGGAATCAGCCATCATCAGCCATCAGGATCAGCCACGGGTCAGCTCAAGGGATTACGGTCAGGTCCCAAGATCACACGGCCAGCTCACGGGACCAGCCGGCTTACGCCATCACAGGGGCAGCTCACGAGGTCACCGGTCATCGAGGCTCGGGTCAAAGGGCAAACATCGGCCTTTTGAAGGGCAGGGGACATCCCGAGGTCAACAAGTCACCTGTTGTCAGGTCAGAGGACACATGCTGGCACATGCCATACGGGATATCTCAGTGTCGCCGATCACCACGGGTCAAGCGAGGGGCACGTGCCGGCACACGGACGAGTGAAATCTCGACGACGCCGATATCTGGAATCAACCTACACCCTAGACCGAAACACAGGGAGCCGGCAGACCGGTACGACATGAAGATCACGGATGCGGACCAACGCTAGGGGCGATGTGCTAGCCTCGAGAAAAAGCTCAGCAGTCCGAAGGTCTTTCTTGGGGCAGGAAGCACGTCCCATACAAACATTTTGCCATGCAGACAGGTACATCTGGGGTCTGGGCACGGACAGGCACAGGACGTGCTTACAGCCGACCAACAAGGAGGCACACACTGGAAATGCCAGCCTAGCGTACTACATGATGCATTACAATTGCAGGTAAGTGTGAAAAGATGGGGGGAGGGGGAGGGTTGATGCGGCGGCGCAGCACATCACTTGGTCCGAGTTTGAAATGCACAAGGGATTGCATGCGTTTTGCCTGCTTTCGAATCGCCGGCTCGAAAAAAAGTTCCACTGGCTTTCCGTGACACTAACCGGCCAAGTCACCGCACAGTCCCGATGAAAAAGACGCATTGTTTGGTGACCTCGAAAGACCGCTATCATTTGACGACCACAACCGGCGATCACTTGGAGAGCACAACCCACAACCATTGACAACAACCCACGACGAACAACCAGCCGCCGTAACGCAACCGCGTTGGCCGCATATCAAGCAACGCGGCATGCATTTCGCCGTGCTCGCATTAGCCTTCGCGCTGCACCGGGCATGTGTGAAATGTGCGCACATACCGAGCGCGCGTGAGGGGCCCCATCTCCTCAGCCTCCCCACATCGTTGGCGCGACGCAACCCGTGTTCGCTTTAAGGTTGGCGCAGAACACGCTCCCACGCAGCTATTCAAGCAGCACTAGCGACCGGCCACATCCTACGCCTAAAATCATGCAGGTAGCAGCAGTTAGGAATGGAACTGGTCGTTCCGCGTCATAGTCGAGCGCTCTTCTCGCGTGAGCCCCTGATTGCTGGTGATTCACCCACGGGCGGGCGTCAGCGCGCCGTGCGGCCCCTCACACAACTACAGAGGGCCCCGAGCAGACACCCCGGGTGCGGTGGGGTGGAGAAATGTCCGTCTCCTCAGTCTCCCTCGGTGCCTACGAACACTGTCCCCATGCACCTGTCCCAGTCCGTGTTCAGTGTTCCAGTCCGCGCGGGGGTACGTCGTCGCACCACCCTTCCCGAGCGTCAATGACCGGCGGTCACACCGCGCCGCACCAGCACCCACTGGGGAGAGACCGCGACCCTCCGGCACGAGCCGCCCACCCTACCCATCGCGCCGCTCGGCCGCCACCACACCACCGGCGCCGAGCCTGCCACCCCCGCTACTGACCTCGATGCGGCCGACCTTCATGCCGGAGCGGGCCAGCGCCCGCAGCGCCGACTGCGCGCCCGGGCCGGGCGTCTTGGTGCGCGTGCCGCCGACGGCGCGCAGCTTGATGTGCAGGGCCGTGATGCCCAGCGTCTTGCACTTCTCGGCCACGTCCTGCGCGCGCAGGCGGGAAGAGACGGTGACGTAAATGCAAGTTGGAGGTGAGGGGACAGGTAACACACAAACACACATGCACAATGAACCATCTGCCAGGTGGTGAGACTAAATGGGCTGTGTGGCAGGTGCCCTGTTGAGATATGGTTATGATGGGGGTGGGGGTGGGGGTGGGGGGGAGGTGGTGTCAGGTCATAGTGGAGTCCAACAGGTCATGAACAGCAGGAGGTTTCATTTCTTTCAGACACATTCCAGGAAGCATGGCTGGCATTATCAGACAGGTTGACCCAGCTGATGTGGAACACATTGTCCCTGAGTGAGGCTAGCTCGTGTCCCAAGATCTACATGTGGAGCATGCCCATCCTTGTCACGACGTTTTTTCGACCTATGCACATTACAACAAATGCATTTTGAGTGCTGAATATACAGGTGACACGCATAACACAAGAGAACTTTGGAAAAGGAAACAAAGTGGGAGTTTGCTAGTGACCCTCCTAACCCCTCTTATGATAACCTCATCTCAACCAATTCTCAACCAACTGACCTCCCTGACCTCCTTCACTGCAACCTCACCCAAACAAACTGGCCCTCCTGACCTGCCTTGTCCTGACCAGCCAGCCAGTAAACCAACCAACTGAATCTCCCCACCCCTCTCAATGTAACCTCTACCCAACCCACCAACCCTTCTGACCTCCCTTGACATAACCCCATCCCAACCAGCTCTTCTCAGTCACTCACATCACCCCAACCAACCCTTCTCAGTCACTCACATCACCGCACCAACCCTTCTCAGTCACTCACATCCCCACTTCTCACCTCCCTGCCATGACTACACCCAAACCAGGCATTCTCACATCCCTCCCTCACAACCTCACCCCAAACAACCCTTCTCAGTCACTCACCACATCACCCCAACCAACCCTTCTCAGTCACTCACCACATCACCACAACCAACCCTTCTCATCTCCCTCACCACTCCATCCAAATCCACCTTTCTTAACTAACTCACCACGGCTTCACCCCAACCAACCCTGCTCACCTCCCCTGCTGTACCCTCACCTGGGCGGCCAACATGGCGGCGTACGGCGACGACTCGTCACGATCAGCCTTGACCTTCATGCCGCCCGTGACGCGCACGATCGTCTCCCGGCCCGAGAGGTCCGTCACGTGCACGAACGTGTCGTTGAAGCTGGCGTAGATGTGGGCGACGCCGAAGACATTCTCGCCCTCCCGCACCTGGGGTCCGAGCGAAACCTGGACCTGGTCCTCCTGCTTCTTACCCTTCTTAGGTGCCATGTTCTGCGGGGGAGAGGGTGGAGGTGTCATCCAGGTCTGGGCATGGTCTGGAATGGTCTGGAATGAAAGTCATGCCATAAATTGTTTGACTTTGCTTTGGAATGTTCCACATTCAACAAAATATGGTTGTATGATAAAAGAAAATCCATTTTGTTTGGGATGTTCACAAAACCATGTAGTGTCCAGACAGGTGGGAGGATAAGCCTTAGGGGGAGGGGGAGGCCAGAACCAGGTGGAGTTAACACAGCTTTATAGTTAGGCACTCATATTGGAAATTCAGGGACAAAGTGCAATAGTATGAATTTATGGTGGTAAAGCCAAGGTTAAACCAGAACAAATGCAGACTGATGGAGGCAGAAGCCTACAGTTTCTGAAGACTTTCTGGCAGGCTGAATTATAATGACAGTACCTGGCACTCTTGCCAATGAAATCATGTCAAAACCCAGTTCCAAAAATTCAAGACCTTGCAAAACTGCCCTGCAGTATAACCACTCAAATAGCATAACTGCTCTATAACACATCCTTTCTTGACTACCTGGATGTCTAAACCATCAACTGTGGCATTCTGTGGTGCTCATCTCATGGACTGACAAGGTAGCCCCAAATGCAGGAGCACCAGCCCAACATAGCTGGTAACTGCCCACAGGGGACAATCCTAGCCTGGAGTAATAATGTCATTATACATAAAGACAGGTCTCCAGTCCTGTGCCACAAAGCCCATTAACAAAATTATCACCCAAACTTGAGCAAAGTTCAGGCTTCCATAGGCTTCTGATAAATGTCACATGTTTTGCTTTGTAAGCTCTCCTGAACCACAACTATGGTAACAAATGCATGGCCACAAGTATATGCTCACAAACAAGTGAGTAATGACATGGAGCAAGAGAATGATGCACTCCTGTGTAACCACCTGAAATGCTACTTTCCACCTGAAGATTGCAATTCAGCCAGCATAAACCTCTGAAATGGCCTTAGAAAATATCTTATTCTGCAAGAGAACAGAAAACACCTTGCTCTCTATCCTTTTACAGAAGCGCAATGCCTGCAGGGGCCACATTACCACCAAGGGCCATGGCACAATTTGCCCTCTTTGGGTAGCCTCCATCAAGAAAACCCCTGCATAACACATCACATCTCTGCCTTAGGTTGCTGACAGCATCCCCTGCCCGGTACCAGGAAGCTACCTATTTGAAGGAAATTGCCCCAATTATATAGTGCCTCAGCTATGCTTAAGCAAGGCACTGTCAAGATCTCGAAGGTTAGCAAACTGGCATATCTGCTGATGGCCATATGCAAACATTTACATTACAAAGACAGCTACCACTTTATAAGCTTCACAGTCAGTGATCAGGGTCAACACAAGCAACACACCTTCTGCAAACCCACCCTTCTGAGACTTAAAACAAAATTTAATATTAGCTCTGAACTGAACATATCAAAAGAGCAGCAATAATCAAAAGCAGCTCTGCAGCCTCCTCCTTTGAAAGCATGACAAAATGTCAATCAAGTGCTCAAGCTACCCAGAAATGCTCCATACAGTTCACTTAAATTAACAAAAGCCCAAGAAAACATAACAATGCCCTTGCACTGGAGCAATAAAGCAACAGAATGAGGAAATGACATAACCACGAGTAACAAAGCCCTCACCCAGGAGGGTTTCACGTAAGCAATACTCGATATGCCGCCAGAGAACTACGTACACACCATTAACCGTGCCCAAAAACAACACTACTTTAAACGTGTGAACAAGTGAGCAGGGTACACAGAGTTTTCGGACAAACACATATGAGTTGAGCCGCGCCGAAAACATATAATTTGTCCCCAAACGAAAGATCAGTCAAAAAATTCCGTAACACACACGCAACGCAAGTGATTTTCGCAAGATACTCACGCACCAAATTCGCCTACAATACTTGCGACGGGAAAAGGACGGGCTCGCGGCGCTGCCATGTTAACAAACAAGAAATATGTTCATTCTTCAAGACAATTTTCAAACCACAGATCAACAAGTGCCTGGAGGTTTTATCCATGCAAAGATCCGTGAAACAAATAAGCCTTTTAACGAATTGGAAGAAATATTTTAAGGTTCTATAGGGTAATCAAATAATTCAGAATTTCCCAGTAGAGGTGCAAACTTTTGATGAATGCTGCCCAGCCTGTACCTTTATCTGCTTTCAGTGGAAACCCTTCTCCATTTCTGGCCAGCCATTATAAAAATTTTCCGTCGACGGATCTAGTCACATCAGGGGGGGAGGGAATCAGGGGCGTAGTTTCGCTAAACGAGTTGGGATGCCGAACAATGATGAATGTCAAAACTTGCCCCTAAAATATGCCAACACGCAGGTTATCCTGTGGATAAAGTCCGCTGTCATCCGAAAATTTTGCCTGGATGGGGAGCTGGAGCCCAACTTGGAGGGCTGAAGCAGCCACAAACTGAAAAGGAAACTACACTCCTAGGAAGGGGGCAACTACTCCCTGTACTTAAGGCCAGGCAAAGAACTATGCTATAGAAACCTATTGCTGTCCCGCGCAAAGCCAGGGAGTGTATTTTTGCGTTAGGCTACGTTAACGTGGCTCATTTTTGTCCGCAAGGAAAAATACTCCGAGACAAAAACGGCAGCGACGGATATATCCATTTCACCACATCACAACACACACGACATATATTTGGACCACTTGCCCAGTAGCAAGTCCAGGATTTCGTCTAACGGGTGGCCACACAACAATGTGCATTTTCCTGTAGTTTGGAGCCGATAAAAAGGTACTGGATTTTGGGCAATAATTTCAAGATTTTAGTTACTGCTATTTGAAACGGAAACCTTTTGTGTGTGTGCGGAGGCTTAGCAAGCTGGGCTTGGTCCGTAGCTGCATGCATGGGGGGCGCCCATTTCCCCCATATTATGAAAGATCATGCCATTTTGCGTCAATTCTTTCGAAGAAAATATGACGAAATGAGTTAAAGTCGGCTGCAAAATGCCATCAAAATTGGGCACGATACTTGATCCCAAGCTTGGAAGCTGCCAAACATTTTCAGTCGGCCAGCCTACCAGTCGATGTTGTGATCAGCTATCATGAGCAGAATGGCTAACAAGAATTCGTCGGCGGCGCGAAGAAATGCATTAGGCAATTGCTTGCTCGTAAAACGTAATCGAAGCATATGTTGCTGCCGCGGCTAATACTCCAAGGAAAATCCTCATCGTTTAAAATTTCGGATTGATGTAGGGGAGAGGCGGGAGAATTGGGACACTTTTGCAGCTTCAACTTTGATGAGTCATTGCAGCAAAAGTATGAAAGCTAGGTAACATTGCATCATACTAATAAACAAATTGGATATTTGTTTGCATCATACTAATAAGTAAGTTTCACTTTGTGGTAGGATACGACACGCGTGGAGCAGAAACAGACCTTCCTTTGCAGGAGAATCGGGACGCACGCAGGAGAATCGGGACAGACGTGAATATGAATTGGGACATACTAAGGAGCATTGGGACAACATTTCTAGTTGGCTATATGTTCTATAATTAAATTGTAAATGGTAAAATGAGTGCACTGCGTGCCATCTACTTGCTGTCAGGAGCTTGTCAATGGTTGGTCAACGTTTCCTTCCGCTGAAAATGGTAGCATATTAGATTCATTTATCTCGCGTTAAAACTTAGACACAACATTTTGGAACGTGAATTCAGGATATATTTTCCACCTCCAAATAACCATTCTGTTTTTGGCAAAAGAACGCCAACAACGAGAAGGTATTTCTAACAATGCCAATGCGATACCCGCGACACAGCGGATCATGTCGGATCATAGCGGATCAGCGGATCATCAGTCTCGGCAGGCCTCACATACAAACTGTGCCTACCAGGTTGCTGCGTCGGTATACGGCAAGCACGCCCATTTTTTGCATGTTGTTCACTGGATCCACGATTCACGGCTGAGCCTATACTGCATCCCACAGTACGACACGACGCTTTATCGTCAGCCTTTGGCAAGTCCTTTGCACCTCCCAGCTTTCTCCTCTTACCTTTCGTGTTAGCGGTGTTGCTCTTGGCATCGAACAGTGGCTTTGGCACACGCTCGTGTCTGGCTTGCGACTTTCGGGTCTTCTTCTCCTCCTCCTCTTTTTTTGCAGCTCTGGTGTGCTCGTAGCTATCATGGTCTTTCTTTTTTCCGCCCTCGACGACTCGACTCCACTTTGGGTCCCGCCTTAAAAGATTGAGGACCAGGGGGTCCCTGCCTTAAAAGATGGAGGACTAGGAAATGCAAGGATACGGTCATGGAACATAGGCATAGGCATTGGATAACATGACTCACTGGAGGATCCTTTGGGATGCAAAATTATCCATTAAAAAAACTATATTTTGACGGAATTACAACATAATTAGCAAACAGGAAAGGTGAAAATGAAAGGAAATTTGTAATCACGAAATATAGGACAGTTCAATACTGAACAATGTTTTCTTAAGGATCGTATGGGCGATTTGGGTCTGTTTAATGTCACTTTGTCATTGCTGCTTTATCGGTTTAAGGAAGAAATTGGAATAAAAAGAACTCACTTTCGGATACCCCGAAATTCCTGCGGTGAGACAAGCCGGACTGCGGGAGACGCTGGGCTGAGTGGGTCACCTCCTTGGACCTCAGCTGGAGCACGTGACAGCCCAAGAACTGCATCCGGTTTGTTGATTGCAAATGGTGGCTTTTTCAGCTGCAGGTCAACCGGATCAGTCGGCCTCCTTGACAGGGATGGAGGCTCCGGACACTCGACGCGGTCCTCTTCGTATGTATTCCGCTTCGCGTGTGTCATCTTCGTGTGCGCCCGCTTCATGTGTGTTTGCATCGTGCGTGTCCACTTCCTTTGTGTCCGCTTCGTGTGTGTTGTCTTCAGCCACCCCGGGGGCTCCTGCAGTCGCTGAGGGAGCTGGTCTGTCGGTCACGTCTGTGGCAAGGAAGTCATCCTTGGTGAATAATTCAGTGGCCAGTGGTCAGTGGCCAGATTTCTATCGTTCGAAAGCCGGACAGTATGTTGGCTGAGGTGGCCGAACGGATCAGCGCCTGCCCCATGAACTTCCCCATGTTCAGAAGCTTGATGGACTTTCGCGCGTTTTGGAGCATCCAGCTATCCACCTGCTTGTTGAAGCCTGTCTTCATCGGACCGAAGACGGTGACATCGAGCAGCTGGGACCTGTGACTCGTGTAGGGAGTAGAGTTGCGATATGGACTCCACCGTCCTTCGCCAACGTCAACACGTTCAGGCCGGCATGGTTGACGTGACTGTCGAGCACCAATACGACTGGATTGTCCTTACTTGTCCCCATGTGCTTCACAATGTGCTGCATCACCTTCTCAAAGTTTTCAGGCGTCATCCACCCGCTGCTGTGACACAGCTGCAGCGATTCTTCCGGGGTGCCATTCCATCAAATTCTCCCGAAGAGTCTTCCTTGGGAAGGCGTAGGTAGGGGAAAGGTATGCCCCAGTAGCAGTCACAGCGACACACATCGTGACAAGTTCACCCCTCTCTGCAGAGGTGACCTTCCCGACCTGTTTGTCTGTCTTTCCAGCAATGACTTTTCCAGGCTTCTGTACAGTCGTGAATCCAGTTTAATTTAAATCTAAAATCTTTGCACCTGAGACTCCCGTCTGTTTCAGGACCTCAGACAGGTTTCCGAAGAATTCCTCGACTTTGCGCCTGTTAATGACTCCAGCTCGCGCAATGGATGTAGCTTCAGGTTTCCGCGGGGCCAGCTGGGTGTTCCTTTTCATGAAGGCCTTCATCCATTCGCGCCCTGCTTCTTCATTTTCAGCCCCGGAGTCGGGAAAATGTATTTTTATGTATGTAATATATGTATGTAATGTATGTAATGTAATGTATGTAAAAAGTCATTTTTAACTGTCATTTGGTAGGCAATTTCACGTGGTTGCTTGTGCGTTAAGCCATGGAACATCTTCGAGCACTGCATCACATACTCACTGAGGGCTTGCTCCTCGTCAGCAGTGAATATCTTCGAATGACTGTAGTTGGGCTAAAGACGAGCTGCAGGATCGATACTGTGCTTTGCGACACACCTTCCAAGAACGCTTTTGCTCACACTGTGGGGTTCTGAAGCTTTTCTCACTCACTCCTCCTTCTACAACATCTTTGACAGACAGCAGCATTAAGCCATGAGATACGTCCTCGTAACCCTTTTCTTTTCTAACGTATAGACGTGGCATGGTTCTGAAAGAAGAAAAAAGGTGAGTAGGTTTCGATAAAAACAGCTATATTAATTTATAGGTGTGTATAGCATTATGCACGAGTGACATTAATGGTTCCTGCAGGAGAATTGGGACATCTGCATGACAATAGGGACGGGTGTCCCGATTCCCCATGCAGCGCACGCTAGCTACTAGACGAGTTCTCCGCCGTTCGTCAATTGGCTTATACAATTTCAAATGCAAGCAAGCAAATTAACATATGTGAGCTTACAATGTGAAATGATTAAGGAAAGGGTGGCTTGACATGAACAGCACACACAACTTGAAATAACACTCGAAAAGAAAAGTTTGGTTTTTTGGCCACTCACCCCGTACAGCGGTTCCTGTGCGCCGGAGAAGGACTGCTGATTAGTTTCCAGCGTTACTTGATACAAAAAGGAAAAACATTAAATTACAAATGGTTATTCGGAGCTGCCCATCAATAAGATATTGGCGTGTCCCAATTCTTCTTCGTCCCAATTCTCCCGCCTCTCCCCTACATAATTTAGCCAGGCCCGTATATACGAGCAGACGAAATGCCATGAAGTGTTGGCGCTCCCAAACAGATGTGGTGCTTTCGAAAACAGAATACAGTTCTTCTGACCTCATGCGAAGAACCCAAGACTAAGATGCTAAGATGAAAAGGGCCCTGGGGCGATTAAGAGCACCTCATTCGCTTGACAATTGCCATGCATGACTCTGGAACAGCGTAACTCCTTT